AAAAAAAAAAAAAAAAAAAAAAAAAAAAAAAAAAAAAAAAAAAAAAAAAAAAAAAAAGGCCACAAAGAAACAGAGCAAGAGAGAGAGAGAGGGATGGAGAAAAACCTTGAGATTCTGCTTAGCCTGCCATCGCACGTTAGCTCTTTGAGAAGAAGAATCTCATCAAAATCGCTATTTCTTTTTCATCGTTTCAGACTTTTTGCCGCCATTTCTGACACTCCTTTCTTCAACCCTTCCATATCAAAATCTCCCACTTCCATCCTCCCTTCATGGACCCACCACCACAACTATTCCAATCAGCCGAACAACCGTCATCTTCTCCTTCCCCTTCCATCCATTTCATATTTCTTCAATATTTTCCCCAGTTCCCTTTGAGTCACCTCCAAGCCATATCACGATTCTTCTTCCCCTTCTCCTTTCTTTTCTTTTCTTTTCTTTTCCATTCCATTTCCCCAGGATTCCCCTTTCTTACTCTCTAAGTTTCTGAGATTTTCCCAGTTGGGTTTTCAGATTTCGAGATGACGGGTTCTGGTATGAACTTTATTACCACTGTTGTCGGGTTTGGAATGAGTGCCACATTCATAGTGTTCATCTGTACAAGAATCATCTGTGGTCGACTTCGTTCGTCTCAATCCAATAGACTCAATTACGAGATTGAATCCAGGGTGGATCTTGAGCAGCAGGTAAGAAGTAATGCCATCTCTCTTAATCTGGATCTGCACAGTGCGTTTTCTATATGTTTGTAGATCATGAAATCTCATTGGTTAATTATCATATGCTACTCAGTCTACTGGTGTAGCCAAGGATTAGAATGACAGCATTGTCTCGCATCTATATGTCAAAATGATGAGCTTCTTGATTCTTTTTTGTTGTTTGATGCCAGCCAGAGTCTCGGGCAAGTGGTCTCGAACCGGTTCTCATCGCCGCTATTCCAACTATGAAGTTCAATCGAGAAGCTTTCAATTCTGTAGAAGATGCTCAGTAAGTAAAACTTTTAATTCATTAGCATAAGAATAGATAGTTAGGCTTACAGTTCTGTAGAAGATGTTGAGCACTGATAGATAGATAACCTGACCCACTAAACTATGGCTTATTGTGCTCCACTTTCAGGTGTTCAATCTGTTTGGGTGAGTATGAAGAGAAGGAAGTACTGAGAATGATGCCCAAATGCGGTCACAGATTTCATCGCTCCTGCATTGATGTTTGGCTGAGAAAGCAATCTACATGCCCAATTTGCAGGCTGCCATTGCAAGACTCTTCTACAACAAAACCTGCAAGACCAATGACAGTGAGCAGAGATCAGTCTTTTGATGGTTCTGAGATTTCAACCGATCATCATTCTCAACACTGGCTTCTACCTGGCCCCAACCGTTCGGAGGGCAACACAAGCAACCAGACACAGCTTGAATCCGTTCCAGTAAACCCCTCAGTTCAAAGAGAGATAGAAACAATACGATGACCAAATTAGCTTCACTGCTGGGTAGGTAGGAGCATGATTACATCGTTGGATATCCCATACTTCTGTACAGAAGTGTTTCCATATTCTTTTGCATTGGGTAGTGTAGATTTAGGCCTTCGCAAACAATGCAATGAATTCTCATCATGTTGTGGATATGTATCTCTATAAGTTTTTACCTCATTCAAACATAACATATCAAATGAAAGTTTGGCAGAAACTTGCAGCAATGAACATTTTTCCTGGAGCTTAAACCAGGATATTGAGTGAAGTTAATGAACAAACTTAGTCACATTGTAGGCATTTCCTGCTCGCACAAACATTCACATGTTTTGATATCTTTAAATTAGCCTGACTCAATAGTTTGAATAGTCAAGATATTTAGGTATGCAAAACAACGTGAAATATCTCAATAAAATATCACATTCAAGGAAAAAATTGGAACATTGCAACTCTTTCGAAAAACTAAATCAAACCACACATATACATGCGATTTCATTAAACCAGAAGTTTACATCACTAATTTCTATTTTTGTGGAACTGCCACAGCCTCGAAAGAAACTTATAAAACATAGAAAATGTATTGTACTATTCAAAGCACGCAATCAAGACAACATGGAGGATAAAATACAACGGAAACATTAATGAATTAAAATCTGTATAGTCCCCTAAAACTGACTTTTTGGCGTGAGCCAAGTGTCTTTGGAGATCAGTGGAGTGAGCCATGAGCATATTGCAATGAGTGAGACCCAAATTGGGGACTATGCAACACAATTATACACAAGATAAAACAGTACAGAGAAGTCAACCTCAGCCTTCGTGTAGCAGTTGATCGTGCTCTTAACACCCTGCTTATTTATGTGCGCAAAAGAAATCAGATGTGATGCCTGTCTCTTCAACGCCGCTATCCTTTCATCATATGCCATGGGGGGAAAGGAAAATAGCACAAAACTGATAACATATTGACACTTGACGAAGGCATGGTGAAGCCCTGTTGGCACCGACAGAGCTCAGATCTCTGGCAAAGTGGCTCACTTGGTAATCTAGTTCTGAAAGAAACTGGCAATAAACCTTTAATGACACATAGACCCTCGTTACATTACTCTTGAGCATTGATATTGGCATTGAGACCCGTGCACCTTCTTGTGGGCACTCAATTCCCCCTGTAAAGCCTACCTGTCATCTCCATCCCTATATAGAAAGAAGATTCTCAGACCGCATAAAAACAGATGAATCAAAATGAAAAAGTCTGTATCAAATGCTAACCTCCTATTATGAATGCTGCCTGAAATTCAAATCATTTTTTAATCATCTTTCTTACAATTTTGTTCATGAGTTCCTTTTCATCTTCTGATTGGCCAACGTTTCCTTATGAAATTTTATGGATCAAGAAATCTGCGTTAAATCCCTTCTTAAATCAAACAAATTGATAGATTTTGCAAAAAAAAAAAAAAAAAAAAAAAAAAAAAAAAAAAAAAAAAAAAAAAAAAAAAAA